GTGGCTGGCTGGGGGTGTTGTAAACCCCATGGGCTTGTCATGATGTCCCCATTCAACAGTCTAACAATGGCCGGGGGGGAGCTCGGTCGGCTGAGTTCTCCTAAGATGGTAACTGGGGGAGCAATAGCTCACCTGTCCGAACAGCTAGGGCCTCTTCAAATCTTTGGATCAGTCGGGTGAAGCCGGCCCAGATCTTGGGCCCCAGGACTTGGTGGAGGACGTACAAGACGACAGTGCCGGTGAGAATGGCCATGGAGAGCTGCTGGGGGAAAAGCAGGGGGGAAGACGTCCCGTTACCCCTGTCTGCGGCTATGGAGAACTACGGTTCCTTTGAGAAAAAGGCAGGGCCGGTCTCAACTGCAGGTGTGGGGCGCCTGGGGAGACTCGTCCGGCTGGCACCTGGACAGCTCTGGGTGTACAGAATTGGGAGGAGGTGGAGTCTGGTTTAGCAGGTAGAGGCAGGACTCCTGGGTTCTATCCCAGCTCTGGGAGGAGAGTACTGTTTAGTGGTTAGAGCAGCAGGGCGCATGGGCCGGGGGGCTGGGCATCGGGACTCTTGGGTTCTATCCCAGCTCTGGGAAAGGAGTGGGGCCTAGTGGGTAGAGTGGGGGTGCTGGGTATCAGGACTCCTGGGTTCTGTTCCCAGTGTGGCCCGGCCATCAGGTTTCTCCCACCTTGTGCTTTGGCCGCCATTCCAGGCTGCCCCTCTGCGGTGACTAGCGTGTACAGGCTGTCACAGCCCCTAGCCATCGCCAGGTAAAGCTATGGGCCACCTCCCCGGTTGTGCCCCTTTGCGCTCCCTGACACTGGGGCCAGCATGGTCCCCACCTGCCGGCTGGCCTCCCGACACCAGTCCCTGGAGAGGGCATGACAATCCTGCTGGCTGGAGTGAGCAGGATCAGGTCCCCGGATCACCTTCCGTGTCCCGTCCCCCCGTACCTTCATGAAGGTGATTGCCCGGGAGGGGCTGAGCCGCAGACCGTGAATGTGGATCACAAACTCCAGGTCGTAGTCGCAGTAGGTGCTCTTGTCCACGGCCCTGCAGGGACGGACCCGGGGGCTCAAGGTACAGGCCGCCCCGTCGCCGGCATTCAAGCCCCACAGCCGTCTCGGGCGAGCGCGGCCACCCCCGGGACATCCCAAGGCCGGCCTCCACCCGCCGCATCCCATTCCGTGCAGGACGGTGAGGGTAGGTATCCCAGAGTCCCTTGCGCTGCCTCTGCAGCGGTGGCTTGCAAATGGGTTTGCAAGAGCTCTTAACAAGCCAAGGATGGCCAGGACATGGAGAGAGAGATTCCTGGTGGGGGGGCAGGGCCAGGCTCTGGATCTGGTGCTGGGGGAGATTGGCGGGGGGACATTTAACACTAGACTAGGAGGCATGACTCTTGGTTACTTCATTCCTGGACTTGGGGCAGGAGGCGAAGGTGGGTTTATGTCCCTGTTGTGCTCTCTGTATTACGGGGCTGTGCAGGGGCCTGCCCTCCAGTTTAAGTTAGAGCAGCCTCCAGGTTGCTCTAGTTTATCCTCCATGTCCCAAGACCCCGAGGAGCAGAGAACAGCTGCAGCCGAGGGTGGTCTGGCCATGCCCATCCCTGACACACCCCCTGGGACGGGCTGAGGGCAAAGTCAGCAGAGGAAGCCCTTTGCGCAAGGGTGATCTCCAGGGGCCACTTCCACCCACTCCAAGGGCCCGTATCGTTGCCAGAGCAGCTCACGACATCCCCTAGGAAGCATGAGTTGGAGCAGCCCTGAGGCTGCTCCGACTTGTTCCAGATGAGGTGCTGGTCCAGGAGACGGAGCCTGGGATGGACAGTGTGGCCTAGTGGATCAAGCTCTGGACTAGGACTCAGGAGAGCTGGGTGACCTTGGGCGAGTCGCTATGGGATCTGCAGAAGAGCCAGGGGCTACTGTCGACAGACGCCAGGGTCGGCAACCCAGCGTACACCGCCGCCGAATGCCCTTGGCTTTAAAGGGCCACGTAAGGCTCACCTGTTAGACACCTCCACCAAAAAGAAGTAATCCGGAGCTGTCAGGTCTAAGGGAACCACATCGTAACAGGGGGAGTTCTGCTCACAGACCCACCTGCAGGAGGGGAAAGACGCCATGAGCGTGGGTCCTGGGTGGCCCGCCTGCCGGGAAGCCTTCAGTGCTGGTGATTATCACTCTTGTCCCCTAGGAATCCAGCACCTCCCCAAGCACAGTGTGAAGCATTTCAGCTGTTCGAGGCAGGGGCTGGCTCTGTGGTTACAGGTCGGCACAGTGCCCAGCACAACGGAGCGCTAGCCTCCAGGCGCTACCGTGATACAAACGAATCGTAACCGCACCCCTTCGGCCCGAGCAGGTAACCAATATTTGGGGCTTTGCAGGGCTTTTTCGGTTAGGATGAGCTATCAGTGATACGAATCAGGTCTATTCTTGGTTTATAGGCAAAGGACCCCCACAAAGTCCCGTCTCAAACAGCCACAGGCAGTTTCTTGTTCTGAAATTCCCAAGTCTGCCCCTCCAGTGGGCTCTGTGTCCAAGAAACCCTGTCTCTCTGCTCCTTCCCAGGGTCACACTCACAGCTGCTTCCCCAGGCTCGCTGTCCTAGCCCTGGGCTGGCAACCAGGCAAACCTGTCTTCCCACACAGCTGAGCTCTGCCTCGGGCACTCCCTCTTTCTTTGTAGCTATCTCTACTGCATAAAGGGGCTTCATTGCTCCTGCCACTGAGCCCGCAGGAGAGTGCTTTGCACAGACACTGGCTTTAATGCGGTCTGTGATCAAAACTCTACCCGATGGCACCTTTCAGATGAACAATGATAATGTACAGGGAATAAACCGCACTGGGAGTGGATGAAAAGAGAACAAGCAAGGTCCTGGTGGAGAATGGCAGGGAAGGGGCTGGAAAGCTGCGTACCCACTCCGATATTTCCTTACTTGATCCCACAGTCGGTTCCGGAGAAGATATTGAAGCCTTCGGGATCGGTAAGGGCAGGTTTTGTGCGATTAGCCCTCATCCAGATCAGACTCAGCGGTGTGCTGGGGAGAGAAAGTGTCCAGAGTCACAGATCCATCTATTTTAAGGCCATTTCAACCTTTTTTAAGAAACCTTTTTTGGGGCCTAAATTTATTAAACCATTCTCCACAAAAAGTCATTTCCACTCGAAAAAATTTGGAACATGACTGATGTGAAACTCTTTTCCCCAGCCAGATTTGCTGAAACCCACCCTGGCTAGATGGAAGGGGAAAACCCACAGCTGTGAGAGGGGGGATTCTGGCTAATACCCATATCCTTATCAGCCTTGCCCTGTTAGGAGGCCCTGGGGTACACAGCCATATTCTCCTAAGCCTGGATCTTCTGTGGTTCAATCCCCCACCCAAGGAGGCAGTAGAGGGCAACCCAGCCAGGCCAGCTACAGCACCCCCAGCTCCGGGAAAGGTAGAAGCAGCAAAGTGTGAGAAGTGACATCTGCAAGGGGCAGCAGGGTTCCGATCTCGGTCAGGATCCGTGCAGCCCCTGGCAAGGAGTTCCACAGGTTGACTGTGCGTCCGGTGAAGAAATCCCTCCTTCTGTTTGTTATAAACCTGCCGCCTGTTAATTCCATTGGGTGACCCCTGGTTCGTGCGCGCTGCGAAGGGGTAAAGGACACTTCCCTAGTCACTTTCCCCACACCAGCCACGCGGTTACAGACCTCCCTCGGGGGTAGCTGTGTCCCACCTGCCGTTTGCCGTGTTATAGTCGAGGATTTCGCTCGGGCTGTAGACGCGGATCCTGCTCTCCGAGTACGGCCCTCCGCCAATGATCCTCAGCATGTAGCTGCAGCGGAACAAAGAACACGCTGCCGTGAAAACCAGCCCACTGCCCTCATCAGTTAGAAACCCCCTCGCTAAGGGGGCAAGTCCTCCTAGCCATGCGGCTCAGACAGCTGGGGGGAGCCCTCCTCACCCCAAAGGGCAAGACCAGTAGCTTCAGTGTAACGCAGGAGTCGGCAATCTCTGGCACGCGGCTCGCCAGGGTAAGCACCCTGGTGGGCAGGGCCAGTTTGTTTACCTGCTGCGTCCGCGGGTTCGGCTGATCGCGGCTCCCACTGGCCGCAGTTTGCCGCTCCAGGCCAATGGGGGCTGCGGGAAGTGGCACGGGCCGAGGGATGTGCTGGCTGCCGCTTCCCACCGCCCCCATTGGCCTGGAGCGGCAAACCGCGGCCAGTGGGTGCCGCGATCGGCCAAACCTGCAGACGCGGCAGGTAAACAAACCGGCCCGGCCCACCAGGGGGCTTACCCTGGCGAGCCGCGTGCCAGAGGTTGCCGACCCCTGGTGTAACGCCTACTGGGTCTTTGTCGCCCTCTAGTGGCTCAGCATCTTTTACTGGCCCAACTTCTACTGGTGAGAGAGGCGAGTTTTGGCACTTACTCTGAGCTCCTGAAGGGGCCTGAAGCAGAGCTCCGTGCAAGCCCGAAAGCTCGTCTCTTCCACTAGCAATAAAAGACATGACCTCACCCACCCGATCTCCCAGCCCTGGGTGAGTTTTGCTAAAGCCAAGGGGGTGGCTTTGCCCAACCCTCACCTGCCCAGGAAAGGTCCCGAGTCCCCCGTCACCATGTCTTGGATCAAGAAGAAGGGATAAAATACTGCGGGAAAGAGAAGAACGTCAAAGTTCATCATTTTAACTGTGCACCTCGCCCCAAAGAGAGCAAGACACCCCCAGGGGTTGCTGCCTGGGGTCAGAAACCAGTATTGAACGGGCGAGGCCATCCTGCCCGGCCCATCTGGCTAAGTGGAAGGGGATCCCGGCGACATCCTGGCTGGAGGAAAGGGGGGAGTTCTCGCTAGATCCCAGCTCGATGGGAATGGAAGGGGGGAACCCAGCTAAGTGGGAAGTGGGGGAGAAGAGAACCACTGGGCTAAGGGGAAGCTGCGGTGGCCTTGCTCCATGGAGGGCTCTGAGAACACAGAGATCAGCAGGTCACATCCGAGTCCAGCCCCACGACTCTAAGACACTGGAATAGCCAAACTGAGGCCGATTTCTGGGCAGCTCAGGACATTCACAGTCGGGCCTTGGATCACAACCAAGAATCGAGGCTCAGATCAGAATCGAGCCAGGATCTAGCCGGGATCCCCTCCCGCCCCCCGTCTACTCCCGAATCTCCCGGACTCCAGCAGTGACAGCCAGCAGCCGCCGCCGCTGCAAAAGGGTCAAGCTAGGGTCCACGCCAGACAAGCTAAGTGAGGTTTTACCAGCAGGGTCCTGTTCGATCGGTCTCTGGGCCTCAGCCAGGATCTGGTCCCCTGTGCAGACACCTTCATCTGCCTCTCCTTACCATCGTTAAAGAAGAAACATGGCAAATCTGGGTTCTTGTGGATGCAGTCGAAGTACCGCTTGTTCTGTTTGGTGGTGTGCTTCAGGGTCCTGGTGATGTCAAAGGCCAGCCTCTTGCCCGGGGGGCAGCCAATAAAGACTGGCACCATGGCATAGCCCTGCAGGGGAGGGGAGGGGGCGAGAAAAAGACACACCCATTTACGCTGGAGTTTGTAAGGTGCCCCAGGGATGGGCGTGGGGGGGGTCTAATGCATACAGCCAAACGCTGGAATTCCAATCTGTGGAATGCAACACAACCAATGCTCCTGTCGGCTTATTAAGGTACCGCTCCCCCCACTACTGACCCATTCCCAGTGGCTACTGCCTGCTCTAGTGGGGCAGAGTTAAGGGAACCTCGGGGGGCGGGGGGAGTTAGCTACTCTCCACATTTGGAAAGAGCGTGAGATAGATAGAGGGGGTGTATGGTGATAGATAGATTAGATAGAGGGGATGTATGGTGATAGATAGATAGAGGGGGGGTATGGGGATAGATAGATTAGATAGAGGGGATGTATGGTGATAGATAGA